GAATATAGTAGGTATACAATATACATGTATAATATTGTATACCTATTTGTATCATTTAAACATTAAAATATTAAAAATGTTGTATACCAAATGCCAAAGGTTAATATACAAGTACCATACAGTTTTGAGGTAATTTATGACAATTATATGTAAATATAAAACTTATTTAAAAATAAAACAACATTTATTAAAATACTGAAATATTTCACAAAATATTTCAAAATTTTAAATTTCACGAAATTTTCAACCACTACCAGTAGGTACCTATGTGGTGGTAGAAAAATATAATCCACTAGTGTGTGACTGTGTGTCTCATTAAATAATAATAATTATTATTATTCAGGTATCTCTTGCGGAAAAAAAGGCATCTACGCTTCAACTTTGGTCGTTTTTGTGTTATTATTTTTTGTAGTTAGATGTTTGATTTTGCTTCCGTTTTGTAGTTAGTTTTGGTCGAGGTATAATAGTAGATTGAAATGTATTCATGTGGTAGTACAACATATATTTTAATGTTTAAACTGATTAAAATGAAAAAAAAACTGGAATAGTACCTACATTTTAATAAAACTGATTTGATAAAAAAAAAAAACTGCTTGTTTATGGCTGTAATAATAATAATATCTTACATTTTGCTGTATTATGAGTTACAAGTAATTTCTGTAGTTATTGATTTTGGTAATTTTAAATAATATTTTCGTAAGACACGCTATACGCAGTACGATTTACTTGCTATTGCATGATTTAAGTATTAAGTCAATCGTTAAATTTCAGTATATTTTAAATGCAGAATAACAATTTAGTTTGCATGGTGGTGATAACTCGAATGTACAGAAGATAAAAACTAATATACCTACGTAAGTATATTGAAATATTTAATTTGATATTTATTTATATGGTATGGTTAAGGAAAATAAAAACATTGATTTCAGATATTAAAATAAATGGTTATGGTTTAGTTCAAGGCAACAAATTGTCATTAAACATTTGAATTGAATAATAATAATACGAACTATAATCGTGGGTGGCATTATTTCAAACTATATCATATTATTTTATGGCATTTTATATAAAATAATTATTGCTCTCAAGTATTATATTTTATAAAAGCACATTTTAATTAAAATTTAATTTCGATTAATACTTTAATCCACCTCATACGACCGAATACAACATTGTAATATTCATTACTCAGTGAAAATGTTAATATTTTAATTACATACGAAATCGTTTCTTCGCGTTTGTGTGTTAATTATTATTTCACCGACTTGCACTCATTATAATAATTACTATGCATGTAAACAATATTATGCCTATATTGAGTTGTTTATTTTCTTTTTGACATGTGGATTTATAGTTGTGTGTGCAAATCGTTCTTCGGCACGATTTCATAATGCCCACGTAGTTACCTACTGTATATCACAATGAATTTACGTAGGGACGAACCACGTTATCGCAGTTGCAAACCATTATAATAATATGTTTTTATACGTAGTTGCACACGAATACATCGTATTTACAGAGTTTTCCGTTTATTATTTTCAGAACCGGAAAACAGATCTCCCAATCTGATACCGTACCCGAATTACGAACAGAATCGTTTGGCGCACAACATGACCGATCGAATCGTGTCCGTGTACCGAATCAACGTTGACGTGTGCGATCGACTGTGGCTGGTCGACACCGGTCTGAACGACGTGTGGGGCGAGGCCTTCCCGGTGCAGACGCCCAAGCTCATGGTATTCGACCTGAACACGGACACGCTGATCAGGCAATACACGTTCAGACCCGATGACATGAAGCCCGACTCGTTCTTCGCTAACATCTTGGCGGACACTACCAAGGACACGTGTGACGACGCGTTCGCGTACATCCCGGACCTGGGCGGGTACGGGCTGGTCGTGTACAGCTTCGCATCGAACACGTCGTGGAGGGTGAAGCACCACTTCTTCCACTTTGACCCGCTGTCCGGCAACTTCCACGTGGGTGGCCAAAACTTCCAGTGGACCGACGGCATATTCGGTGTGGCGCTGTCCCCGGTCAAGGAGGACGGGTACAGGACGCTATACTTCCACCCGCTGTCCAGCACCCGGGAGTTCTGCGTGTCCACGCATATCATCCAGAACGCCAGCATCGCGTCGGACAGCTACTACGAGTACAAGGTGCTGGGCTCCAGGGGCCCGAACACCCAGGCCAGCGGGTCGTCGCTGGACGAGGTCACCGGGACGCTGTTCTACACGCAGATAAACAAGGACGGCGTGGGCTGCTGGAACTCGTTCCGGAGCGCGGACGAGTACTCCGCCGACACCAACCACCTGGTGGCGTCCGACAGCCAGACACTAGAGTTCCCCAACGATCTCAAGGTGGACAAGACGGGAACGCTGTGGGTGCTGTCCGACAAGCTGCCGCTGTACCTGTACAGGGGCCTGGACCTCAACGAAACCAATTACAGGATCTTTAACGCCCCCGTCGTGGACGTAATCAGGGGCACCGTTTGCGACATAAAATAGATATGGTACATACCATTTTACTACCTATACCAATTATCTATACCGCTGGTTCCTCATGCCTCACGAAATCCAGTACTTATTTTACACTTTATATAATATATTATATATATTACGTATAACAATAATTTAGTACGTGTTTTTTTTTTATATATATTATTTTATATTTAATTGATAAATAGACGCATTACAGTATTATTGTTTGTATATTCATTTTTTTTTTTCAATAAAATTGTTTTTAAACAGTTTGTGTTATTTTTTTTACCCATTTGAAAATCGTTATTATAATATTATTCTATCGAATGCGCATACTTACCTGCCTGTTATTATAAGGGAAACCCATTTTGCACATTTTTATTTTCATGGTCAAATATAATTATTTCGATGGTGAAGAAAATTGTACGTTATTTTTATCCGTGGTTACGAGTTATAAGTACCTATTAGCTGTATTTTTATTTTATTGTTCCGTTAAATAACGTGGTTCTATCCGATGTTTTATGTATGAATGGTATTAGACGTTGCAGTAATAATATTTAAAACATAATTTTTTTTCGATAATCAAAATCAGAGTATAATATTATATTAGTAATTGAATATCTACAATATTTTGAAAATAAATAAATGAAAACACAACTTTTTGATTATCATGATAAAGAACACCCTGGAAATCTTCGGTGTATGTGTCTGATTCCTACATAGGCGAATTTCGGTGTCGTCAAAAATTGACTCAAAATAACAAAAATTATTAACTGCAGTGAATTCACTCGGATAATAAAGTAATTTAATATGTCTTCTTTATAAATAAATGTGTACCTACCTATAATTTTTCACATTGTACCTATATCTATTAATTTTCTACATTATTTTATTCGTCGCTTTGAGAAATAGTATAGTTTATATTTATTATAAATTATATTTAACAAATAACTATATCCACCGTATGAGTCGTAAAAAGTAATTATAATTATTATAAACCTAAAGTTAATACTTATTTCATTAGTACGAAAACAAAATCGAAGTTTTTGCGGGCAGCCAATAGTAGGACGATGACAGGAAAAAAACCAAAAAACATTAATTCGTGATTGAAACATAATACTAGGCGTACATAATACTACATAGTACTAAGTGTTAAGTGGTTCAAAAATTGCCTCAAGTTATGTATTAATTGAAATAGGTTATATATTATACTAAATAAGCAGTAAACGTTGAAATAAATATTTTATAGGTACTCAAACTTTTAGAATGAGAAAGTTTGTTATTAGTTTCTAATTAATCATCACTATTTTATATTAATATATTATATTGCGGTATTGCACTGAAGTGTGTGAAGCGAGACGAATGCATTATACACGATATCTGTAGGATCCACCTTTTTTTTAATTTAATTAATTATAAAATATGATGAGTGTCTCACGTTACTGCAAATGCCGTGATAAGGATTATTTGTTCTACTGATGCTAAATAGTGAATACTGTTGGTGTGTTTCGTACTTAAAAAGACTTACCGTAAAATGCTAACGATTTTTTAAAGTAAGTGTCTGGGTTGAAATTGGAGATTCCGTTTCCTCTTGATTGTTGACACTTTCAATTAATTGATGTTTTACATAGTATGTACCTATAGTTATATCTAATCTAAGGGCGCTCGTCAACAAGTTTTAGTGTGAATTTTTTCCAACAGCTATTTTAAAGTTTCTTTTTCAACAATAATTATTAAGTGTTGTCTGTCGTGGGAGTAATGTGTATCGTTTTCCGGTTGTAATAATTAATACAATTTATGTATGGTTTAGTCGTAGTTAAATTGCGTATTGCTAAATAATTATTATCATTATTAATATCTATCTTGGACTTGAACACCTGGTCCGAATGCGATTATATTTAACTATTACCATTAACCGGGTGAAGTTCCAGTTTTGAGGGAAAACAGTAATGATTACACATGTTTAACTGTTTAAGTTTTCGTTTACCTACGTTTTTCTATTTTCTTTTATAACTTCAAGGGGAATAAAAATAAACTTGATTTATGTACCTATTTTTGAGAGTTGTTTATTATTATAATATTATCTCATACACAACTCAAAAACAGTTCAAGGGCCACGAAAAAAAAATCGAGTTATTGAAGTTTGAGTTATCTAGACTCGATTATTGTATAATGTCAAACCAATTGCCGTCTGCCAAACGTTAATTTTTTTAAAACTCGTCGCCGTCAACTTGACTAATACTGTCAATCTACAGTTGTACGAATATATTTTTATTATATTTTATTTTATATTTTTTTTTTATTCGTATATACGAATTAATTAGTTTTATCTTTAACCACGGTGCCATGTCGTGATAACTGCATAGAACTTGTACCAATATAGTTTTAACTTTTTGCAGCCTCGAATTTACGTAGGAATTCAATATTCAAGCCGGGGGGGGGGGGAGGGCAAATTTCCCACTTGCAACCATATCGTCGTACCTACCAACCACAAAGTTTTTTCATATTTTAGCAACAATTATGCATTTTATAGGTTCAAATTATAACCGTTCGCCGCGGCTGGTGCCATACCCGAACTACCAAATAAACCGACTGCCGGCCGCCGGTCATTCGACCACCAACCATCTCATCAACACGTACAGGATAAGCGTGGACACGTGCGACCGCTTGTGGATGATCGACATGGGGATCTCGAACGGCACGAAGCTCGGCCAACCGCAGCTGTTCATCTTTGACCTGAACACGGACCAGATCGTCCGGCAGTTCATCATCGCCCAAGACCTGATGCGCGTGGACGGAAACACGTGGTTCCCGGGCCTGTTGGCGGACACGAACTCGGAATCGTGCGACCGTGCGTTCGCCTACCTTCCAGACCTCGGCGGCGGCCTGGTGGTGTACGACTACCAGCACAACACGGCCAAGCGAATCGAGCACCATTACTTCTACTTCGACCCGCTGGCCACCGTGTTCCACATCGGCGGTGTCCGAGTCGAGTGGCCGGACGGCTTGTTCGGCGTGAGCATGTCCGAACGCCACCGGAACGGCTACCGGACGCTCTATTTCCAGGCAATGTCCAGCACCAGGATGTTCTCGGTGGACACGAGCGTTCTGCAGACGAACACGAGCGGCAGGAACACGTTCGAAGAGTACCGGCATCTCGGCCACCGCGGTGCTGGAATGCAGGCAGGTCCCATGACCTCGGACGAGGCCTCCGGCACCGTTTTCTACGCGCTCGTCAACCAGGACGCGGTCGGTTGCTGGAACCCGAAGCAGCACGACCACCTGTCGTCCGAGACCTCAGCCGTGTTGGCACAGGATTCTGAGACTCTCGAATTCCCGGGCGACATCAAGGTGGACAAGGACTCCAACCTGTGGGTGCTCAGCGACAGGATGCCCCGCCACCGGTTCGATGTTAACAACTTTGACGTGGAAGACATCAACTATCGTGTGTTCAGAGCACCTGTCGCCGACGCCATCCGCGGTACGGTTTGCGAATCGCCCCGCACTTTGACTCGGCCACCGTCCGGTCCTAACCATCCCTCGCGACCGCGGCCAACCACCACCTCCACCAACAGTGGAAGTGCATGGAACACGCCGTCCTCCAGGGCGAAGGATTTCGATTAAGTATGGTTGGCTACATGACACTGAGTGTGCACGTGCAACGGTATTTAATGTATATTTTATTTATTATTATTTATATTGCAAGGCGAAATAGTGTTTTTAAATACAATCGCAACTTAGGACCAATGATCGGTTATGTGTTATTATTTTTATAATTTTATACTGTTTAAAGCATTTTAGTATATGGCTTAAAACTGTGAACGAAATACATTTTTTAGTTGTAGGTAAATTTAATATTTAATAATGTAATTTATACGCGGTGAACAATAATTAAACACAGTAATATTTTAATTTACATAAAACTGTTATATTATTGTGTTATAAAATGAGTCAATCTCTAAAATAGTTAATATTATTATACATAGTCTTTGGATGAAAATAAGCAATCCACAAGCTTATTAGGAAAAGAAACAGACAAAAAACAGACTATACATAATAGTACGTATTGTCAGCATCAAAGAATTATTTTGTCAGCGAATGGAGTACAAACTATTGTTGTTATTTATCGACAAAATCATAACTTTTCGTGGTCCGCAACTTAATTTTGTAATCATTTTCGGTATGGTCACGATCGACGAAGTAGGCGTAGACGGTGAGGTCAATCTGATGACGAATTCAATAATATGGTTAACGGAAGACGGAACTGCTGCGAGTGTTTAATCGACAAAGAGAGCGAAAGGCTGGCCGAGGTGCCCCCAAGGTTTGTATTATTAAAAATTTTAAACAAAACAATCTGTACAATAAGTTATTATTATGGTATATAATTATTTATAATATGAGGCGTGGTATGGCATGAAAACTGAAAAGTAAATCATTGAGTAGTTTCAGGTAGGTATAAAATTATAGATCCATCAACAACAAAGTAATATATTATTAGTATTTATTAGTAAATTAATATTAACAATTATGTTTTACTTTATTAATATGTATTTTTTTTTATATCATACCTATTTGCCTATTCCATCTAAACGCCAAGTATAGGTTTATCGGAAAATAGAGAATTGTGTCGATTCAATGTTTGTTTGATAATCGTTGTATTATGAAATATGAATTCAAAATTCAAAAAAATAGTTTTAAGAGAAAATAGAGGAAGTGGCGGATCCAGGGGGGGGCAGGGGCCTAGCCCCCCTCCCCCTCTCCCAGACCTCTTCAACAGACTCCTCTTTTTACTTACAGAAATATTTTAAAATGCGTAATGTAATGCATTATAATTAAGTACACAATCTATTTATCTATTTTGGAAACCCTTGCGAATGTTATTGGAATGAAAACATTTACAATGATTGCATATTATATTATTAATATTGTATTTATGGCTTTTTTTTAAGAGCCCCCCCACCAAAAAAAAAAAAATAAACCCTTGATCCGCCACTGAATAGTGGGTGAACAATGTACAAATGTGTACAGTACGTCTTTTAGTGTATACAAATAAGATAACACTAATTTTTTTCTAATATAATTTATCAGATAATTGTTTTTTGACTATTTAGATAAGTTGCAAATATTATAAGATGATTAATTATTTATCTAGATAATGCTGATGATAACAATAATAATTAACAGCTAACACAGGTTAATTTTTTTGACAACAATGCTTATCTTATTTCCAAAAAAAGATAGTTTTGTATTAAAATATTAGTTTGATGAACAGTTGCAAAATAATATTAACATTGTCATTGATTGGAAGGTTTTTAAAAATAATAAATCCATTGAATTCTGTTGGGGTCAACAACAGAGTACTACCGTGTATGGATCCTTATTAGTTATTACCTACCGATTTATTTTTTATTTTTTGGCTATGGTATAAACATTATCATTTCAAGTATGAACAATATATTATATACATTATACAGGCAATTGAATAAATACGGTGTCGTCTGTTTTTGGGAATCGCGTGACCCGAGTAAACTGCAAACATTTATCAAATACCAAAATACTTTTATCATCAGTATACGCGCACACACACACACACACACACACACACACACACACACACACACACACACACACGGTGTATTATAGTTTCTTATTCTCAATATAAAGTTTCGTCGTGTATTTAATGTTGGTAGGTAACTGATACAGTGATACTATAGGTTTGTTTTTGACACACGATTACTTTGTTTTGATTCAAGACAACTTAATAGCATTCTATAATAGGCGTATCATAAAAAAATCAAGTTATATATTATTAATATTATAATTTAATAAATACATTTTGATTAAATGACATTGTAGGGTAGGTAAGAAACGACTAACGAGCCTCTAAATACCTACTAATATTGGCGATTGAAAGCTTATCAATGTAACGGGGACAATGTGTATCATTTTTATATTATTTTACCACTTCCTCGTTACAGATCCACCCCCCGTCATCCTGAAAATTGATAAGCTTTCAATCGTCAATAAAGAGAGATTATAATACACTCCAGTCACCAAGAAGTTGAGGTCTTTATAGTTTTATACCTTCATAAAAAAAAAGCATTCCATTTAGGTACCTAGCTATACTGATAAACTTGTAATTTATTGAACATTGAAATTACGATAATAATGTAGTTAGTTTTTAAATGACCCTACTATAGATAAGTGATATTATGAAGGGTGAAAATTTTGGTATTTCCAAAATTTCGAAAATCAAGTTAAACATCGATTTTTATGGGAAAAAAATGTGAGGAATTTGATTTTGCATTCAGAATTAAATTATATCGATTAATTTTGTGAATAAAATCGATTTTAAAACTGATGTTCAATGCATAACGTGATATTGCTACATTTAATGTCAATGCAAAACGTGGTATTACATGTTCAATTCAAAACTTATTATTGCCCATGTTATAATTTGTATTGGGGCATACTTGTTATCATTGCAAAACTTGGTATTGCCAATATTGAATTTTTCTTCAAAACGTGATATTGCCGGCAATAATGCGTTTTGCATCAACAAAAATAGGAACAACTTCAAAACGAGCTATTGCCATTACCTTTCCAAAACTTGCAATACCACGTTTTGGCCTGCAAACACTTTTTTAAAGTATTAAAACTAAGTTTTAAACTCAAAATAGATTTATTTGGACACTGCCAATCGGTTTTTTTCATTTTTTACATTTGATTACATCAACTACAAGTGTTAATTCATGTCATAGGACGTGATATAGTTATTCTTAATTTATGAACATTTTGATTTTTGGCAATACCACGTTTTGGATTATTGGCCTTCATTTATGACTTCTCAAAATCTCAACTGCAATTTTTTCCTGTGCACCGGCCACCGAATACAAATTATATTAATATGTAAGGTAGAAGTTGTAGAACAATGGATTTCAAACGATTTTTGGGAGATCGTTTGTATTGGCTGACTAAACTGCTGTTGGCAAATATAATAATATAGCGATATAATGAGATGTGCCGATAAAACTCGCGCAATCTAGCGTTCAACTTACTCATCTCCTTTCGAGCATAATATTACAATACGAGAGAAGTTACTTAAACATGTAAGTATATATAGGTACACAGTAGTTACGACAACGCGTAAATACTACTTATATGCAATGTCTCCCGGGACACCAGCTCGCTAAACTTCCACGCATTTCGATGATTTATTATCATTAATGTTGATGTTACTTCAGTTTCTTGGATAACAAGATCAGCGGAGGATATAAATGTATTCAAATATGAACTATATATAGGTACGTAAATTACGTTACCGAAAATATTATCATTTGAATGTTGAAATGCTTACATTATTACATTATTATTTTTTTTTAGTGCTCAATAATCAATTTTTAAACATTTCACCGATTTTCTAAAATGTTTTTTAAACGACTGGCTCACAACCCCATATGCTTGACGCTATATAGATCCTATAGGATCGAGCCTAGATAGATAGAGCCTATAGGAGAAACTAAACATTAGTCTTGGCCATTTCCATGAGTAAAATAATTATATCACATGAACTGCGGAGGATCTACGGATAGGGAACGCGTTGATTCCAATGCCTTCCTTAGAAATTATTTTGTTTTTTTAAAATGTAACTCAACAACATTAAGTTAGGATGACTTACGTCAGTGAAACTTTAATTAATAAAAACATAAAAAATGTTGGCTTTGTTTACTTTGAAATTATTCTTTCATCTTAAATCTATATTTAAAAACAAAAATTTAAGACAGCTTTAAATTAACTAAATATTAAGGTACCTATACCTATAATAAGCAAACAATTAAAAACAAATAGTGATTTGAATCACGTTGTTTGGTGAACAAATTAAAAAAGAATAATATGCCTATACAAGAACAAGTAGCCTGGGTCAATGACCAGGTGGCTTATGCCATAGTTCCGTTGATATGTTGACCAATGATAACAATAGTTTTTGTTTGTAGTAAAATTATCATGATTTTGAAATAATTAGGCTCTAACATACTGGCTATTTTTTTTAAATAGTATTTTTGTACTGTTAAATTTTTTAGAAATATTCATTTTATTTTTAAGAAAAACCCAAATGTGTTGGATATATTACATTGAACGAGTAAGCATAGGTTATAAAACACTATATTTGAAAAAAAAATTCATATTTACTCGAAGTGAATCATTTTACAAGGCATTCATAATAAGTTAAAAAATGATCTACCCCCCCCCCCCCCCCCTATGATTTGGGTTGTATTCAAACTGCTTCATTTTAAATTCAATGTTCAATATATTAATATATGCTTAATACACGAGAATTTCTAAAAAATACAACTCTAAATAAATCGATCAATGAAAATTACTTCAAATTCTTGTTAAAAATCTCATAAATGTTACAGTGACTATTTTCTGTACATTATAAAATCAATGGGTTTGTTATAAATATTACATTAAATCGTAATTAAATTGTAAATTGTAAAGTAAAGTTGAAAAGTTTTCACTTTTTTTTTTTAATAATATGTCTATGTTCTTATATATTTCGGATGTCCTTTGTCATTAAAATAAATAACAGCCGTCTCAGGGAGTGATATAGTAATTATCGGCTT